CTGGACAGTGAATAAGGAAGACCATAGAAGAATTGATGCTTTTGAGTTATGGTGTTGGAGGAGAATATTGAAAGTACCACAGGCTGCCAAAAGAACCAACAGCCAGAGTGTTCCTTGGAGGCCAGGATGGCCAAATTTCGTCTCTGATACTTCTGACATATTGTCAGGAGAGACCAGTCACTGGAGAAGAATATCATGTTTGGTAAGGTGGAGGGTCAGAGAAAAAGAGGAAGACCCCCAACAAGGAACTGGCAAAATGGCAGCATCAATGGGCTCAAGCATGGCAACAATTGTGAGGCTGGCCCAGGACCAAGCAGTGTTTCGTTCTGTTGTGCATAAGGTTGCTATGAGTTAGTACTGACTCAATGACACCTAACAACAACAAGAAAATCTCACCAGGACTCCTTGGCCAATTAAAAAAAAAAAAAATCCTATGGCTCATAACAAAATTCTGTCAGACACAGTGCAAAAAAAATAGAATTCCCTAGGTTGGAAGGCACTCAAAAGACAGGCTGGCCACAACAAAGGGCATGAGCTTACCAACCAAGAATGATGAAAATAACATAGGAGCAGGACCCGTTTCTTTCTATTGGATGGAAGGTTGCCATGAGCCAACCTGCTGGCAACTAACAACAGAGATGAAACATACTGGCCCTGGCTAGTAACTGCTGAAGCTTGGTGATGAGTACCTGGGAGTTCATTATACTTTTTTATCTGCTTTTGGATATTTTTGAAAATTGCTATGCTAAAGAGTTGGGTTTTTTGTTTTTTAAGTTATACATCTTATTCCAAAATTGGATCCATGGGGTAGAAATTGTCTAATTTTTTGTAGCAGCCACAGTTCCTAACAAGAGATTTTCCACACAGAGCATGCTCAGTAAAGACCACTGTGGCATGCCCTTCCTTGGCTAACGGCTGGTCGCCTTTGAGGCATGAGGTGTATTTCTGTGCTTCAGGAATGGTGGCCTATGGTTCTCACAGTTGTGTCCCTAAGCAATTGGCAGTGCTCAAACCTTTTTATCTACCCAGGAATCAGGCTTGACCAGAGCCAACATGGGTACGTTCCTACGCAATCTGCTGCTGGTGCTTGCTTCTCTTTCTCTCTCTGCCACAAAGGGCTAGCAAACAGGCTTTCAGCTGACTTTACATCTAATCTGCGTTGGGATTCAGTCCACTAGTTTAAAAATATCCATCTCTTGAGTTGGCACTGCCCATAATATGAAATTTACCTGCATTGGAAACTCTACTAATTCATTTTACTTTACACAATGAAAGGTGGTTGTTGTTAACTGCCGTTGAGTCAATTCTGACGCATAGCAACCCTGTATAGCGTTTCCGAGGAGCAGCTGGTGAGCTTGAACCGCCGACCTTGCAGTTCAACCGGCTTTGCAGTCTGGTGCATTAACCCACAGCGCCACACCAGGACTCCAATGAATCCAATGAAAGGTTTGCTGTTGTTGTTGTTAAGTGCTGTCCTTAAGAATTCAGTATACAGATTTACACAAAAGAGGCAAATTAGCATTTGAACACGCAGAGCCCTGATCTCTATTTGATTTTTTAATAAAAAAAATTCAGCTTTGGATAAGGAAAAAAGGAAGTAGGCCTTTATCTACTATGGGCATCAACCACCAGCACACAAGACCAGCCCCACCTTTTATCAAGCACTCACTACCTGTGCTGGGTGTGCTACACTCTGGAAACAACCTGGGGCCGAGGATCTTATTAGTATTTCCATTTTACAGGTGAGGACACTGGCCACCAGGACAAGGAAGGAAGTACTTTACACGTGGCCAGTAAGGGCAGAACTGCGATCAGAGCCCAAGTCTAGGGATTCCAAAGTCTGTACTCCAACTTTCCACTTTACTCTACCTAGTGCTTGTAAGTTGGGCTGCTAACCTCAAGGTCAGCAGTTCAAATCTATCAGATGCTGTGAAGAAAGATGAGGCTTTCTGCTTTCGTAAAGATGTACAGCCTCGGAAACTCTATGCAGGGTCACTATGAGTCGGAACCAACTCCATGGCACACCACCACCACCACCACTCACTGTCTTCAGGGTTTGAACACAGATAGGAGTCGTGAGATGGGACAACATGGGGAAGAATGGGTGCCCAGGAGATGAGTCTGTCCACTGCCTCAGAGGTGCTGCCAGGAAGGGGAGATGGAAGAAGGAAGCAGTGACCCAGGGGACCGCCAGCAGCCGCTCCTGAGCCATTGCATCAGAGCCGCAGACTGAGAGAGCAGCTGGGCCGGCAGGGGAGGGGAAGCTGTGCCTGGTTTGGCCTTGGGTCAGTGGAGCAATCCAGGCTGAGGTGTCTTAAGCTGTGGCCTGGGCTCACATCTGTGCTGAACCAGCACAGGGCAGATTCAGAAAGTACAGAATGTGTAATCCCTGGAGGCTGAGCTCCTTAGTGAGGGCATACCCGTCCAGGACTTTGGGGACTGGCCCCCCTTCCCCAGTCAGCATGCCCAGGGACCAGCAAGGAGTCCCCTGCAAAAGGACTTCCAGGCTTCCAGCCCCACACAGCCCTGGTCTCTCTGAGCCCCTCTCTACACAGAGTCTCCATCCTGTAAGCTACACACACAGGGTCTCACATCTGAGGGATTCTTCCTGATTCACACCATCAATAGTGGGCATCTAGCCTAGAGGACCTTTGTTGCATGATCATGCAGGTTGTACGAGCCTCACACAGAGAGACAGCAGGCTGGACTCCAGGTCCTGCAGTCAAGTGAGCCACACGAAGTTTGTGGTTTCCCAGCTAAGATTAAAATGATGTGGGCACTTGACTGTTGTGGTCTAGTTAGTATGTATGCAACAGCCTGATGAGAAAGTTTGGGATATTGTAAGAACGACCCAAAAGTGACACAGAGACACGAAGTGAGCCCACACTGATGGAAAAATGATGCTGATAGACTTACTCAATGCTGGGTTACCACAAACCTTCAGGGGGTGGGGGTGGGGGGACACAACGTAGTATCTGTGAAGCTAAGCCGCTATTAATCTGTCATAGTTCATAGCAAACATATCACAAGCTAATGAGAATCCAGGACCATGGTGGATTGTTACTACAAGGATGGTAGGATGTCTGTAACTCTGGGCTAGTGTTGTAGAAGAATGTTGAAAGTATTATGGGCTGCCAGAAGAACAAGCAAATCTGTGTTGGAAGAAGTACAGTCAGAATGATCCTTAGAAGCCAAGATGGCCAGACTTCGTCTTACACATTTTACACATATTTTCAGGAGAAGGACATCACACTTCATAAAGTGGAGGGTCAGCAAAAAAAAAAGGAAGACTTCCAATGAGATGGATTGGCACAGTGGAGGCAGCAATGGGCTTGAGTGTAGCAACAACTGTGAGGAGGGCACAGGACCAGGCAGGGTTTCGTTCTGTTGTTCATAGGGTCACTATGGGTTAGAACTGACTCGAACTCTGGTAAGAACTCTGCTAGAACCCTAGAGGAGTTAAGTTGCCAAGTAAAAGGAGATACAGAGTTAAGCCTGTAGAAAGGTCCCTAACATGTCTAATATAGAATATGTGGTGTCTATAAAAATAAAAATATAAATATAAATCAGCTCACACCATTCATATAGAACCAGGAAAAAGCTGACAGAAGGGCTGGCATCCATAGGCAATGAAGTCATTATCACCTCAAACACGGGACACATACTTTCTGTACCAGAAACGCTCTCAAATCTGAGACATAAAGCTTCTCTTAGAGATCAGGGAAGTGACACACAATTAGTGTCGGTGCCGGCCAGGTAGATGCTCTACACATGAGCTCATTTCACACAAAGGAAGCCACACTGTCATTCCCAGGCTGCCCAAGCGTCACACAGCAAGTAAGGGACAGGTCTGCGGTTTGCATCCACATTCCTAACTGCCTCTAAAATGAAGAAAGTTGGCCACTCTTCCGTGCAGTGACATTCTTGTGTGTCACCATCATTCCAGTAAGGTCTACAAGAAACAACTACTGTTCGGCCTCCAAGAGCTCAACAAACTTACTCTTTGAATATTGTTATAAATCCTATCAGCCAAGTCACAGTCCCTGGGTGGTGTAAAGAATAAATGCCCTTGGCTGCTAACTGAAAGCTTAGAAGTGTGAGTCCTCCCAGAGGCACCTGGGAATCTACTTCTGAAATATGCAGTAATTGCTTCACATGGGGCTGCCATGAATGGGCTCAGTGGCAACCATTTTGCTTGTTAGTTTTCAGATCAATTCTAGGTCCTTCAAGAAGAATAGCTGCTGGCACTGAGGAGTCCCTAACATTTCAGACATTACCAGACCACCCCTCCAATCTGCAGGGAGAAGACAAGAGCCCATATGTGAGATGGGTAGAACAAGATGTCACGGGCCTCCTGGTCTCTGGCCCCCACTGTCGTGGTTACATGACTCACCTGGGATGTGCTTGGCCCAGCCAATGATGACCACAAGCTCCCTGTCTGCCAGGTCACAGAGGGTAGTCAAGGCCTTGATGTCCCCCTCAGGCATGCCAGGGGGAGGCATGGCGTAGATCTTGTCTGGCTCAGCTACCAGCAGATAGGAGACAATCTTGGTCACTGCAAGGACAAAGAAGGGAAGGGTCAGGGGTGTAGCCTAGGATGCAAGAAATGTTGGGTTTCCATGTCCCCCACGAAGGTCACATTGTCTGTAAGTTCCCCTTTCTAACTTTCCAGGGTTGCCAGCGGCGGTGAGTTGGGCTTTTGAGAACGATCCCTACAAGGGAAGTGGCCTGGTGAATTCTGCTGAGTGGAGCCTGCAAGATGGATGATGGAGGTCAGGGGCACGTTCTGGGGGCCTTCATTTGGGGCCAAGTGTGATATCCTGCATGAAACGGCTCTGAGTAGAGCATGAAGTACCCCACAACAAGGTCAGACAATGATGTCATCCCTCCAACACTCAGCATCGGGAACGTGGTGTTCCACCAGATCGGCCAGCAAGAGGCAGACAACTGCCTGGGCATTCACTCACATGGCTTTTTAGCGGGTGGAGAAATCTGTAAGCTCAGGTATGGGCTGCTCTCTGAGTCCAGCCGCCGCTTGTATTTCTGGCGGCCTCCACGAACTCGGTCAAGACGCACACCTGTTGGGGAGGAGAAGGCGAAAGTCTCAAGAGTCATTCAACATCCCTGGTGGTGCAGTACTGACTTGTGAATTTCAGTTCTGGGCCTTGCGAGGGCCTTCGGCAGTTGTCTCATGGCTGGCCACAGGCCAGGTGACTGGACGATCCTAAGACAATCATCTAAGAGAGATGACTATCACTTCTGGGCATGCCTCTCTGGATTCAGCATCCCCCCAAAATTGATTCCAAGCAACACTCAGTCCTTAGGTTTTCTGTTTCTAAAAGGGAAATATAACAAAGGCATTCTACCAAGTAGTACTGGAGAAGGGAGAAGTCACAGTATTACAGATCAGCTTTGAAGTTAGGGATGGTTCAATCAGCTTGCCAAGAGAGGACAGAAACCCATGCCAATGCTAGGCACAGGCCAGTGCCAACCATATTGCAGGGTCCATTCTTGGATTCTCATGGTATTCATAACTCTGTATGGCTTTGTGTGGATCATATATACAGAGGAATATACATACCCTATATTTGAGCTAACTTAAAAACTTCTGGTGTGGCGTTGCTGGTTAGTAAGGTAAACTGCAATGGTGGTTTGGGCCATTAAGGCTGGCAGTTCCAACTCACCAGCTGCTCCTTGGAAACCCTGTACAGGGTCACTATGAGTCGGATCCCAACTCGATGGCACTTAGCAACAACAAAGATGACCCTGGTTGTTGCCTCAGCCTCTGAGAAGGTGGGCGATGGTCTACTTTTATTCTTTCCTCCCAAGGTCGATGGGTTCACCTTCCCAGTCTCAGATGGATGTTCTGCAGGGCCTGATGTTCACTCTGGCACTTCTCAGAGCTGGGAAAGTGATATGACCCAGAGCAGACGAGGTCAGAGGCCTTCTTTCTGTGCTCAATCCCCCTGGCGTGCTGAAGGGTAGATGTCAGTGTAGTCAAACTAGTCCTTTCTTGGGAAGGAGCAAGAGGAAGACTCAATGGGATGGATTCTGTTTGTGCCTGCGCTGGTTTTCTAGCTGTTTCATAGTTAAGATGTTGTTTCTAGGTGCTGTGGAGTCAGTTCCGAGTCATGGCAATCCTATGTACAACAGAATGAAACACTGCCACAAGGTTGGTGGTTCGAGCCCACCACTGATCCCTGGGAAAAAGATGAGGCTTTCCGTTTGCCCAAAGATTGTTGTTGTTCAGTGCTTTTGAGTTGATTCCGACCTATAGCGCCCTGTATATGGTTTCTGAGCAGTGGCTGATGGGTGTGACCCGCCGACTTAAGAGTTCACACTGACCTTGTAATCCAGCACATTATCCTGAAGCTCCACACTAGGACCCCCCAGAGAGAGACAGCTATTAATGATCCCTGGTGGCACTGGGGGTTAAGCATTGTGTTAACCTCGAGGCCAGAGGTTCACATTCCTCTACATAGATTCACTGGGGCAAAAAAGGAAGTTTCTGGAACAATGAGAGCAACTGAAAGTAAACTACTTGTTTACTAAACAGGTAGGACAATCCCTTAAATGATGATGTCCTTAAGGAGGGGTGGGGAACATTTTTTCATGCCAAAATTTATAACACCATTTGTCATACAAAATTGCCACAATTTAAAAATTATTTGGTCTGAAGTCCTGGTGTGGTGCTGTAGGATAAACATTCTACCGCAAGGTCGGTGGTTTGAACTCACCAGTGGCTCCTTGAAAACTGTAAACAGGGTTGCTATGAGTCAGAAACAACTCCAAAGCACTCAGCAACAGCAACACTCCTTACAGGTAGCTCAGCTCCTCCGTTGTGGGTCATTTAAGCTCAAGCCTGTGACCCACCTCCACTGTGAATACCTGGGCATTGAAAGGTCTGGGTTCTCCTCTCCACCCCTGGATGTCAGAGCAGGGCTGGTGACACAAGTACAGTCACCTAAACCCTGGAATTCTGGTTCTGAGTCAGGATCACATGGCATAAAGGTCAGGGCTTCAGACTGGTTCAAACCACTTCCGGCATGGCCTAAGAAGTGGAACTGGAACACAGGTGAATTTGAAAATGTGAATGGGAGACTCTGCAGAGGCATGGTGAGTCCTCTCAGGGGCCTGATGTAGGAGACTGGACTACTGCCAGGGCTGTGGAGAGGAACCTACACTCATGGTGGTATGTCAGCTGCCATCTTTAAGCAGGGCCGGGCCCTTTCTGATTCTGCTGACCAAGGCACTTGGTTGCTATGCAATGTGCACACTACCTTTGTTTTCGGAGAGAGAAACTAAGTTTCTGGTGGGGAATTAGTCTATAAATGTCCCTGTTCTGGCACAATCACATTTACAAATTTGGGTCCATTACCGTTTTAACTTCGTCAGACGTGACTGGCCTGGTAAGAATCCAGAAGCCCTGACAGAGGCCCAAGAGGAGCGAGGACTGATTCCAGGCAACCCAGGCACACAGTCCTAGTTACTGCATTTTCTGTTCCCCTTGGCTCTTATCTAGTTTCTAAGTGAGGCTCTTCCTCTGGGTTCATTGAGCCTCTGATAGGCTTCTTGTAGGCATTGATTGAAGCTGAGTTCCCCAGAAGCAGGACCGGAAAGGAGGCTGTGAATTCAAGCAGTCTACTTGGAAGGTCTACCACTTCTTTGTCAGTTTGTTGTACTGTGGTACAACTTTGTCAGTTTGTTGTGAGTTGCTGTGATTCTGGAAGCTATGCCACAGGTATTTTAAATACCAGCAGGGTCACCCATAGTGGACAGGTTTTTAATGAGCTTCCAGATGAAGACAGACTAGGAAGAAGGAGTGATGAATTACTTCCAAATAGTCACTAAAACCTCATGAATAGTAGAGAAACATTGCCAGATATAGTGCCGGAAAACGAGCCCCTCAGGTTGGAAGGCACTCAAAATGTGACTGGAGAAGAGCTGCCTCCTCAAAGTAGAGTTGACTATGATGATGCATATGGAGTAAAGCCCACAGGACCTTCATTTGACGATAGGGCACAACTCAAAATGAAGAGAAACAGCTGTAAACATCCATTAATTATCAGAACATGGAATGTACAAAGTATGAATTTATGAAAATTGGAAATTGTCAAAATGAAATGGAACACATAAACATCAATATCTTAGGCATTAGTAGTGAGCTGAAATGGACTGGTATTGGCTATTTTGAATCTGATGACCACATGGTTTACTATGCTGGGAATGATAAACTGAAGAGGAATGGTGTTGTATTCATTGTCAAAAAGAACATATCCAGATCAGTCAAGAGGTACAACGTTGTCTGTGATCGGATAATATCCATGTGCTTACAGGGAAGACCAATTAATACCACTATTATTCAAATTTAAGTACCAACCACTAAAGCCAGTGAGAACGAAATAGAAGAAGAATTCTATCAACTTCTTCAATCTGAAATTGATCAAACATGCTATCAAGATGTATTGATCATTACTGGTGATTGGAATGCAGAGCTTGGGAGCAAAGAGGAAAGATCAGTAGTTAGAAAATATGGTCTTAGTGATAGAAATGATGTTGGAGATTGCATGATAGAATTCAGCAAATTCAATGATTTGTTCATTTAAAATACCTTCTTTAGACAGCATTACACATGGACCTCACCAGATGGAATACACAGAAATCAAATTGAGTACATCTGTGGAAAGAGATGATGGAAAAGCTCCATAACATCAGTCAAAACAAGGCCGGGGCAGATTGTGGAACAAGACCATCAATTGCTCATATGCAAATTCAAACTGGACCTGAAGAAAAGTCCATGAGAGCCAAAATATGTCCTTGAATATATCCCACCTGAATTTAGAGATCATCTGAAGAACAGATTTGATACAGTAAACACTAAAGACCAAAGACCACCAGAAGAGTTGTGGGATGACATCAAGACCATCATACAGGAAGAAAGCAAAGAGTCATTGAGAAGACAAGAAAGAAGGAAAAGATCAACATAGATGTCAGAAGAGACACTGAAACTTACTCTCCAGAGTAAAGATGCTAAAGCAAATGGAAGAAATGAGGAAGCACAAGAGCTGAATAAAAAATTTCAAAGGTCAGCTTGAGAAGACAAAGTCAAATATTACAACAAAATGTACAAAGATCTGGAGTCAGAAAACTAAAAAGGAAGAACATGCTCAGCATTTTTCAAGCTGGGGGAACTGAAGAAAAAATTCAAGCCTCAACTCTCATTATTGAAGGATTCTCTGGGCAAATTATTGAATGATGCAGAAAGCATCAAAAGAAGATGGAAGGAATACATAGAGTCACTGTACCAAAAGGAAATTGTTGATGCTCAACCATTTCAAGAGGTGGCATATGATCAAGAGCCAATGATACCGAAGGAAGAAGTCCAAGGTGCATTGAAGGAATTGGCAAAGAACAAGGGACCAGGAATTGATGGAATGAAAATTGAAATCTTTCAAGAAAGTGAGGCAGCACTGGAGGCACTCAATCATCTATGCCAAGAAATTTGGAAGACAACTATCTGGCCAACTGATTGGAAGAGATCCATATTTGTGCCCATTCCAAAGAGAGGTGACCCAATGGAATGCAGAAATTATCAGAAAATATCTTTGCTATCCACTGTGAGTAAAGTGTTACTAAAGGGAATACAGAAATGGCTGCAAGCATACATTGACAGAGAACTTCCAGAGGTTCAAGCTGGATTCAGAAGAGGACATGGAACAAGATATATCATTGCTGATGTCCGATGGATCTTGGCTGAAAGCAGAGAATACTAGAAAGGTATTTACCTGTGCTTTATTGACTATACAAAGTCTTTCGACTGTGTGGATCATGACAAGCCATGGACAACATTGTGAAGTATGAGTATTCCAGAACACTTAATTGTCTCATGAGGATTCTGTACATGGACCAAGAGGCAGTTGTTTGAACAGAACATGGGAACACTGAATGGTTTAAATTAAGAAAGGTGTGCGACAGGCTTGTACTCTTTCATCACACATTCAACCTGTATGCAGAGCAAACAATATGAGAAGCTGGGTTATATGAAGAAAACGTGGCATCAGGTTGGAGGAAGACTCAT